AATAAACTTTGTGGGCTTTGAAGAGACTGTAGTCCTGCTGGGAACGTCCATATCAGCACCTCAGTTTGCTCTGTCCAGCCTTCCTTCTAAAGGTTTTATGTCTCTCACATCTCCCTCTCATATAGTGTATGAGTAAACAGGTCTACTTACAAAGTGGCTTTGATGTTACTGTAGGATGAAGTTTTTCTTAACGACTAAAGATGTTTGATCTGTGGCAGACAAAGGGGTTGATTCTTACATGGATGTTTCAGTCTGATACTCAATGTGATTTGTACATGAAAGTGTTATCAAAATACTCAAAATTTGAAAGGGAGTGAAGGAAAATAGTTATCAAAACTTGATCAATTTGAATGCTTACTGTAATTGTGAACTCAATTATTGCTCTGCTCCTTTTTTATTGTGGAGAAGGATTTGCCGAGGCTGAAAAATAAATTAATCCTATTTTCTCTTTATAACATACTTTGAAAAAAATCATTGACTGTGCACTGACCATTCATTGATAATAGCAATGACTTTCTCATCATTTTTCATCACATTAGCAAAATGAAGGAGTTTAAAGATCCACATGAATGTTCATAACACACAAACCTCTGTACTTGTTGCAAACCTCTGTACTAGAAATGTTATCTGCTTCCTGACATTCTGAAAAATATTCTGTCCTCAAAAATATTCATAGTGAAACAAGTTAAAATACATAAATATGTTCCTGTTATTACTTCTCTATATATTCTAATTCTTGCCATTGCTGGAGAGATGATGCCGTATGACTATGAATTGGAAATTGTGGCGGACAATCTTTTCTAAGTAACTCTGATGATAGAAAAAGTTACCGAGCACCTGAAATAATGAAAAGGATTCACTGAATGCAAATGACAGCTTTCATCTTCCCCATTCCTTTATGAAGCACATGTTCATGAATATACACATTTTTGCATATGTAGAAGCTCGAGTGTATCAGCCTTCCGATGAATGAAATAAGGAAATTACGTATTCAGAAGTAGTTGGAAGTTTGCTTTTTTTTGTTGAATTCTCCAATTTAATTGAAGTTGCTTTCCTGACATGGAAGATTCCCTGAGAGGCTGCCAAATTTGAGAAGGGAGCACTGTTGTCCCCATTTCTTTCCATATAAAGCTTTAGTCCTATTTAAAATACCAGCGTTGCCTTTGGTGATTTAACAGCCTTTTGGCAGTTTGGTGCTGTGTGTCTGCACAGTCTGTCCATCTAAAGTAGCAGAGCACGAGAAACTGAGCTCCTAAGGGAGCTCCAACAATATTGACAGCCTCAATTGACAAAAAAACAGTCTCTCACTTTCACCTTCACTGAACTCTCAGAGTAAATTCAGGGCCTGATTGAAGAGAGATAGGACCTTAGCCATTGAGTTCCATGGGAACAGAATTTGAACACTAGCAACTGCTGCCCTCTCCTAAAGCAGTCCTGAATATCTTGGCAGATGCTGTTTAGAAGCACTATCAGTTTGATCCCACTTCCTTCTCAGGACTGAAAGCCAAGTTCAGGGCTATTTATGTCTTATTAACATAAGGCTGTGGATGGGAACTGCAGCAAGCATTTAAATCTTTTCCTTGAAAAATCGGCTATGGCTTAATGAACCTTGTTCAGGTTAAGCCTATTTATCCTTGATATTTGTATTTGTTACTGCCAGGTAGAAGTCAAAGAAAGAGCAGTTCCTTCTATCTTGAAGATTTTATCAGAATTGAATAGCCTGAAATTTGTCTTGAGTGAATCAATTCTCACTTTTCTGACAGGAAAATACCAACAGCAGATTTTCCAGATATACTTCAAAATATCACACATGCTCAAAACTTTGATGATGTCAGGAGCCGAAAAGAGATGTGCTTATCAGTTGAAAATATGAATGTTTAAAGATACACAAATTATGTTTTCTAGTATGTCAGCAGTGCAAAAGGTGAGGGAAGAGGCATTTATTTCCAGTTAGTGTATTCATACAGAGGAAAAAGTGGAAGGTTAAAACTCAGTACATAAATTCGGGAGTGTCTGTCTGGAATGAATGAGAGCAAAAGCAGAAACAGTTTAAAAGATGTCCCTTCTTTCCTTCCTTCCCTTCTGAAGTATTTGGGGGCATATAATAAAATATCCCACATCTACAGCAATACTTTGATGTTAGTCACAGTGTGTTGATATAGTTTGTATACTTTTGAAGTACTTTCTTTTTGAATTGACAACATTACTACCTGATTATGTTTTTTTTACTTCTTTGGCAGAAGTAAATTGTCTATTTTTAAAGCACTTTTGACATTTCATGAAACCAAAAAGAATTTTACTTAGAAATATTTTTCCTGATATATAGAATATGATTTTTTTTCCAGTTATTGGTATGTATTTGTTTAGTAAGAATGACTGTAGTAATGTCAAATATTCATGTGCATCTGATCTTGAAAAGGTTAGAAGAGCTTTTCTTACAAGGGATTTCAAGAGGGCTGAAGTAAACCAGATATTTGAGTTCTTTTATGTACTTAGAGCAACATATTTGACCTCTTGAGATTCTTTTATACTCAGCCTTATCTTCTGAAATAATAAATGTTGATTTCTGTGTATTTTGAGATTAGTTGCCATAGTTGTTCCCAGGTATAAACCTTTAAGATGTAAATCACTTCAGGGATAATCAGACCATTTTTTTGTCTTGCTGCATGTGATGTGCTATGTGCCAGTGTGTGTGTTGTTTTTTGTTTTTTTTTTTGGGGGGGGGGGGATTGTTTTTTTTTTTTTTCAAAAATAAAATCTGTCTTCCTGCCAGAACATTTTTTTATGTCTTTATGCATATGTTGATTGGCATGTGTCGATCTTTTCCTCAGAATTCCTCTTGGTTTGCTGTAAATAAAGCCTCCTATTGCAGAAATCTGTCTGTGCAGGGCATGGTTCCTTCATCCTTTTCCATCCTCTTCCCTAACCCAAAAAAGTCAGTACAATGTATTTCTCCACATTTTTTTCTAGTTGTGGGGTAAAGTTGTTTGAAACATCTGTTCAATGATGTCTGCCAATCTCTGTCAACTTTAGAAAGGCCCAAGTTAGCAATAAAAGTTTGTCATATGGTAACGCTGAATATTGGGAAGTCCAGAAATGGCAAAAGCTTCCCATTTGTGGTTGGCTAATATATAGCAAGGATATGTAGCAAACCATATGATTCCCTTGCTTGCTGTACCACATCATAGTATATAGGCTAATACCACATGTGTACATTAGCAGATGATCATGGCACGTGTAAATTTGCAGCATTCAGATTGCTTTCGCATGCTTCTCCTAATGATATCATATGTTGATTGATAGTTGTTCAGTGCTTAAAACTAAAAGCTTTTGAAGCATCAGATGTGACACTTAATAGGTCTTTCTCTAATGCTGTCTTAGCACCTGCTCCTCCCTCACAATCACATCAAAGTGAATTGTAAGTAACCGCTCTGAAATTATGCTGCATTGCACTGTGGAGTAAAACTGGTAGAAGCGCAGGGCAATCAGCCCCATAACATTTCTCCATCTGCAGAAAGAATCTCCACAGCCACCTGGATGCTTTTAAACCTTCATTATTTAAAATTTCATATGGTTGGCTGAACATTGCTTCTACCAAAATCTGATACAATAATCGAAGTCAGAGGTGGGGAAAGACCTCTGGGGTCACACAGTCTAGCTTTCTGCCAATAATGGATTGTTCCCTGCAGTTCAGTTTCTAGTGACCTTGGAAATTACTAGCCTGGTAAAATGGTAATGAAAAAACAAAGCTGTTAAAGCTTCCAAAGTAGCCAAAGTGATGCTGTCCCAATGAGAAACTGTGTTTCTGATGTGAGATTCTCTATGTGCCTTGCTTGTTGGTTGCTGTTTTCAAGTGATCACAGTTTTGCTCTAAACTTTGTGACACATTTTGAGCTGGCTGTAACTAAGAGGTTGAGGGAGGTGAGCTTCTTCTAATATTATACGAGCTTATTTAATCCTGTAACCAAATAATTGTTTTTATTACAAATAAATGCCGGCAACGTGACTAACCCCCTTACTGTAAAGTTTCCCTTTTATCCCTGTCTTTTTATTCTTTCAACATTTCTAGCCTCCAGAAAGGGGAAAAGAAGAGAAAAACTATGTTTCTTGCCATTTCCCATTAAACCGCTGGTTAATTGATTACTTGTCATGCCTGGAAAACCAAAAGCTCCCCAAAACTTTTTTTTTTTTTTCCCAAAAACATCATATTTATATTTCTTTCACCCAAACTAATGTTGAAAAACTGGGTAGGTGGGGGAAGATCCCAAGACACAAAGTTCCCTTCCTGTGGCACCCATTTGATGTATGGTAATTTCTTCACTAGCAGGCCTTATTGTGAGCTGGGGTTTTGGGTGTGCAGCTCCAGGAATATCCATCGTTTCTGTGGCTCCAGCCTCCCTGACTATTGTATTCTTACACACTGAGTTCAGCTGGAGAGGAAAGGAGTTTTCTCAGCTGCCAACTTGCTTAAAAGAGGAGTTAAGAGGAAAAGAAAGCTAATTGGACTGTGCTTGGCAAAAGTCTCTTTTTTTATTCTGTTTATTCGGATTTTAAAGGATTGGGTGCCGAGAAACACAAAAATAGCGAGAACACTTACTCCTTAAACAGATCCTTGCAAAGTTTTTACAATAAGAACAGAAAGCTGCTTTAGTAAAACACTGTTTATCCTTACACTAATGCTAGTCATGAATACGTGTCTAACTTAGCTGGAACTAATGCCTGACTCTACTATTCCACTACAGCAACTTAACATTCTGCGTAGGCTGATTATTTTTTCAACAATATTTGCTAAATTCTTTTAAGGGCTGCCAGTATATATTTTTTGAAGCTTAGTTAGTAAGAACAGCTGCCAGTGGAGTCAAGGCTAAAAGAGGCAAAAAATATCTGCAGAAGGCAAGATTTTACTTCAAAAGATCAGTATTACAAAGCACTACTGTTGCTGGTATAATCACTTTCTTTGGGGGGGATGCTAATATAGACTGGGTTTCTTGTCTTCACAGCCCCCACTGAGCCTTTGCTGTGCAAATTTGCTGATGGAGGGCAAAAGAAGCGCCAGAATCAAAGCAAATACACACAGAATGGAAGGCCGTGGCCCAGAGAAGGAGAGGTAAGTGCCACGCGGCAATTATTTTCCAGGGGGTTGGGAGAAGTCAGCTGCAGAGCTGGAGGTCTGCCTTTCAGGGCTATGAAGAAATCAGGTTGAGCACAAAATGCAATAGTTTCACACAGAAAAAATGAGCAGTAGTGTATACGTGGGGGGAAGCGGGAGGTTTATAATAGTTCGTGGAATGTAAAGTTACAGGAAAAGAGAATTTCAGAGCTGGGTGTGGGACTGCGCACAGCCTTGTCCCACTGTGAGCCCTCTGTCTGCAGCCAGATTTGAACCTATTATTTTCTTACTGGTGTACCGTCAGCACCTGCAATATACCTCTTAGCATTTATTTACACCTAAGCAACCAACATTATTTTTTTCTGTGTAGTTCCTGGTAATAAATTATTATCAAGGCGGACTTCTACAAAAGGGAAAGATGTACTTGCAAATGCAAATATATGCATATCAAAGTTTCCCAAAAGCTTGTCTGAGCTGGGATCTTCATTCTGTCCAAGACAAAACAGTTTACAGTAGCTTCAGCTCCATCATGTATACAAATTAAATAAATATCAGTTGCTTTCTGCTCTGCTGTAAATAGTCTGTTACTGGAATTTCCTTTCTGTGTACTTGTACATGAAGTGATTCCCAATGTGGGTTAAATAAGAAAGAAATTTATTTGACTCTTCGAGAGTTTGTTTACTCTCCTTGAATGTTATTATAGGATAAAGACACTTGAATAAAGGAGGTGAATCTGGTCATAGTACCTTCTTATGCATAATTATAGCTGCAAAGGCAGAAGGACTTAGAAGTATTTCCATCCTAAACACCTCTTGTTTGGGTTTATGATTGAGAATTCAAACAAAATTGCTCAAACGCGAGCTGCTAGAATCAAAGCCTTCTCCTTCCCCTTTCCCCTTCCTCTTCCCCTTCACGTTCCCCTTCCCCTTCTTTCCGTCTTCCTTTCCTTCTTACTTCCATTTCCCTTTCCCCTTCCCCTTCCCCTCCCCAGATTTACTATGTTTACTTCAACATTACAGTGCAAATAAACAAGAAAACTATTTGGTATTTCTGATTTAGTTGTTTCAAGAGGGTTTCTGCTTTTTGATAACGACTTGCTTTTCCTAGCTGGTACTTTTCAGACCATTAGCGTATGACATATATATATTCCAGCACAATTGGTGAGCTCTTAAAAGAAACAGAAGGGCCTCTTTAAAGTATGGAAATTTCTCCCTCCAGCAAGGTAGTCGTTGCATACTGCTTCAACAAAAATGTTCCACAATATTTTTAGCTTTGTGGGCTGAAAGTGGCAACGTGGCAGCCACATTTGCTACAAGAGATTGCAGAAGTCTCCAAAGGTTCATTGCAGTCTCTTATGTTGTTGGTCCAAAAAATGGAGATGTCTTCTTAGAAGCCATTATGGTTTGTCAAGTTAAGGAGCTACTGAGAAACAAGCACTCAGGAATTACTTTAAGTGGTAGACTCAGGTCGTTGTGTGCAGGGCTCTAAAAAGAAAGCCATATATATATATATATATGTATGCCTATAGGTGGGAGTAACAACCCCTGATTAAGGTCAACAGCTAAATCTCTCTTCAAATAGCAAATGTCATTGCAGCTATTATTTCCACTGTTCTATACTTTTTTAGTTCAAATTCATAAACAAAAGAATTTAAAGTCAAAGCCAACAAGCCACCATTATGTCTGTGGCCACAGGGCATCAGCTTCTTACATCATGCGTAGTTCATTTTTTGCTAACAGTGTGGCTCATATTAAGGATAGCGATATCCCTGGGACATAGAGGCAGGGTGTGGCTGATGTATTAATGAAATGGTCTTTCTTAGATTTACTAACCTCTGATTAATACCTTTCTAAACACTGGACTTTTACCACTCAAAGCATCAAAGACGATAATGCAAGCTGTTGGATTTCCTCCACAAGGTCATATAATTTTCTTATTTCCAATGTGAAATATTTCTATTGAATTAATCTTTTATAAGCATTAGTTTTTCTAGCTTTGTCCTTTAATGATCTTACTCTAAGCAACATGTATCATTCAGTTGTTCTGTGTGTAGCAGTGCTTAGTTAACTTTCTTACAATTATTCCTGTCAACTTTAATTTATCTAAAAAAGAACAGGTAGTGAGAAATAATTGATATATGACAAGTGTCATACTTCTGATTACAAGTGGAACCTGAAAATATTCCCTGCACCTCTGCTCTTTCTTGGTTTCTTCTCCAAAGGGGAAAAAAACGAAACAGCATCCAAGAGGTTATTCCCTCAGTATTTCCACGTAGACCAAATCCCATGAAGTCTACACCAAGATGTATTTGGCTATTGTTCAGTTAAGCATTTGCATTCTTAAATACTTACGTGAAGGGCATTTCTAAAGCTTCAGAGATTTGACCAGCATTAACGCTGAATGCATGTGAGGATTATTGCTCAGAAGGGCAGACTCCAGACAAATGACACTAACAGTTTTATCATTGGCCTCAGATTTTAGTATGCAGAGTAGAGAGACAGCTGTGCAGAATACTCTGTTTTAGGGGGGAAATGGCAGGAAATTCAGTGGGGAGGAACAGATTGCTGCAGTGGTACCTCTCTGGCTATGCTGTTCTCAGAGGTTTTGCTCTCTTTTATAGAGAGCTTCTGTGGAACTTAATAAGAGAGGATTACTTTTTGGTAAAGTTTTCAGGCCATACTGCAGAATACAATAGAAAATCTTATTCCTGCCATACATTTTTGTAGATTGCTTCATAACCATACAGAAATACTTTAGCTGGCTGTTAAATTCTAACAGCCTTGTCCTCTTGCAGAACACAGCCACTGAAATCCCAGCAGCAATATAATTTGGCTTGAAATTTTCACTTCATTGTGGAAACAGTCCTTTGCTTGGAGGGGGAACGATGACAAATTTCTTATCCTATGTATGGTTTGTGCAGCTCTTAGGAAGGCAATGGTGTGGTCTGAGTACCTATAGGTAGCACATCACAAAACCTACAGCTCTGGTGCTCTGTATAATCATCTAATCTTACTTCAGAATTTAAGCATGTATGGATCTATACCATTTAAAGTCAAGTGTTTAGGAATATACTGAATTTCTCCAGGGTTTTTCAGATTTGTTTCTGTTGTTTCTTTTTTTACGTGGGGTTTTTATCCAGAAACTAGTTGCAATCAGTAAAGCATACCTCACCTTGAACAGCACATTTTGTCCTTATCCTTCCACTCTTGGTTAAAGCCTCAGGAAGCATTCAGCAGATTAAGTACGACATTTGACTGAGGATTTGTGCATGCTGACCAATTTCAGACTAAGGATCCAAGAGTTTAGATTACTGACGGCTTTTTGAAAGGGTGTTAAATAATGCATCTAACGTACAGGTGCCATAAAAGTACAGTGAAGCCTACAGATGTTGGAAATATTTGCAGAGAAATTCTAACCTAATAACTGACACAATTTCTGCCCAAAGTTTAAATTCTTTGATTTCAGGTTATACTTTTCTGAGTTGCACTGTTTTCATGTAGTCGCACTGTTTTAGTTTCTGTTTTGAAACTTTCCCTGACAAGATCATGTTGAGGAAATGGTGATGGGGAGTAATCATATTTAAATTCTGTCTGTAAAAGATTTGATTTAATTTACCTCTGAATTGCAATTGACATGTCTAGAGGTAGATGACATTTCTCAAAAAAAAGTTCATTAGCTGAAAATGCATCCAGGGAATCGAGGGTAGTTGCAAATTGAGATCAGATTGAATTAAGAACTGCAACTTAAATTTTACAGCTGAATCTTTCATTGCAGATTTTTTTAAACTTTGATTATTTTGATTTTTAATTTTTTTAATATGCATTTAAGTGAGAGTTTGTAATTTATCTGGTAGAAAAGAGGAAATCTCACATAATTTGAAAATAAATGAAATGCTTTGTATCAGTCCACAGTGATTTATTATTTTTACGTCACAGTATTTTGAAACATTTGACACTTCATTTGCAATCTTTTGTAAAATGCAGACTATTTACATATTTGCATTGTCTTTCTTGCAATCACCTTTAAAGTATGAGTGTATATATCACAACAGTGACATACACCATTGAATGTGACTCCCTGGTCATTGAACTTAGTCTGCTGTCTATAATGATATTTAGTGCCATAATAATTCTCGTATTGATGGTTTTCTTTCTTCTGTGATTTGGGTTGCATTTTTGTTTCTCACTATGCAAAAGATTAACCTCCCATTTCCTCCCCTTCCCTCTCTTCCTCTTTTCCCCCAGTCTTTTTTTGTTTTCTTTCAAGATCACCCGGTGAAGCTTCTAAACAATTAAACATTCTTTTAATTGCACCTTAAAAAATAAGAAGACCTACTAGTTTTGGAAAGTTGCTTTTGTTAACCGTTTCTCTTTTTGTCTGCTGCTTGTTACAATTTTGTCTAATGCAAACAGTAATTTAGAGAGAAAAAAACATATAGTAGGTAATTTGAGAGATAAGTCGGGCATGGATTTTTTTTATGCTTCCAAGGAGATAGGTACTATTTAGTTGTTCTCGATAATCCTCAGTGTCTGGGGCTGATCTGTTTTATACCTGGACAAATTAGTTTCTCTTTCTGGTTGGAGACAATTGGCAGGTCTGCATAGGAATTTGTAAACTGCAGCACTCCTCGTTTAATTCATCAGATAAATTGAAGTGAGAACAAAGTAACTCAACACCAGGAACAGAAGCTGTGTGGACTTCCAGTCAAGTTCTCTAGTACAAACTGTTTTAGTCATTCATTTGGGTTTCTGAACGTGTGATTGTGTCTGTCAGCTCAACCTCTGACCTACCGAGGTTCATGAATCACTTGACCAGTTTGACCTCAATATAATATATTTTGCTCTCCACAACTCCTTTCTTCTCAGAAGTTGCAGTTGCTTAAGGAGCCCATGCATGTAAAAACAAATGTTTCCCTCTGGGGAACATCACTGGGAAATGCCCCATTTCTTTCTTATGTGTCTATATATTAAAGTGTCACAGTGACTATTGAGAATTCT